CTTAAGCTATTTTTAAAAAGAAAAAAACCAACTTAAACCAGCTTGTTTCTCCCATTCCTTCATAGTTCACTTTGCTTCCAGGCTAGAAGGCTCCTGTCTTCTGGATGTATCATGATAGCAATGCTCATGGCTAGGTTTCCAGCATGGAGACAAAAGAGTGAAATGTGGAAATCTCAATCAAATATCTTATTTTTAAAAAATTACTTTTAAGTCTTGTTTTCTGAAAAACATGGGAATTGATGCAGGTGAATCAAAGGGTTCTGTATAGTGCCTGAACCAAATGCCTTCTGCTTTTGGACTTGTCATTTTGATACATTTCCAGGCACAGGGACTTTGCTTAAGGATCTTGTTCTATCAGCAAGGAGTCCAGAACCTGGTGCTAACACAGCTTTTCTGTGCTAGGGATGAAACGGGCCACTGGATTTTCTCTGGCTCTGTTCCTTGAGAGCTAGTACCAGATTACTGCCACTGTGATTTCAGTCTCTCTAGATGCTTAAGAGAAAGTATGAGAAACTAGAAATGTCTGTGAGTTTCCTGCTCAGCACTGGAGGCCTACCTGTGTGTCTGTAAGTGCTATGTTTGCCCAGGTGGTTTGTAGTTAAGGTGCTGGAGCAGAAAGCTCTGGCTTCTAGACTGGTCTTTCCAGGACACCCAAATGTTCCTGATTCTGCTCCACAAAGTTCCACTGGTGTAGAGTTGTTTCTGTCAGTGCCACCCAGCACTGTGGCTGAACCCTGGCACTGTCTGGCCAGGCTGTTCAGTACAGAAACCATAGCAAAACTCCCACCATCTGCACAGCTAGGTACCTGGCTTGCCCAAAAAAGGCCTGGGAGTGAAACAGCTTCTGCTTGCTACTGCAGGAGGGCCAGTGCATGCTGGAGAGATGGTGTGTGGACCCTCTATGCTTGGTCTTGCTTGGGCTTCAGTCACTTGCTGACTAACCTTCTTGACACGTAACAAGGACAGGGCATGCTGGCCTCTGAAGTGCTGAGGATCAGCTACCAGCTGGTACCAGCTACCTTGTTTTTGTAAGGTGTTTGGGTGCAGAGAGTGAAGAAAGACTCACAAAGGAAAGGAGAAGGCTGTTGCCTGCTGTGTTTAGCTGGTGCTGGTGATCTCTGCAAGCTGGTGGGAAACAAGGTTCAAGATAGCTATCATATCTCTTTCCATCCCTCATTGAGTAGATATCTTCTGCCCATGTAGGTTGTTAGAAGATGATTGGTAATGTGCTGGTGTATCTGCTTTTTTGTTGCCCCTTGATGGGTTATCTTGATCCTTTATGGGTTATTAAGGATTAACTGTGTGTTTTGCTCCCTAAGAAGTAGAAGCTCTGAGGGACTGGGGTTTGAGGGTAGGGAGTATTTGGGATAATGAAGACTGGACAATTTGTGGGCAGTAACTCCTGAACCCAAGGCTGGGAGAGTTGGAGTGACAGTTAGTTCTCTTTCCAGCATGGGCTTAGCATGGCTGTGTGTGCATGGAACTGGTCAAGAGACATCTTAGTCTGCTGGAAAATGGGGGAAATATTATAATCTTCTGCATCTTTACCAATTTAAGTATGCTCGTGCCAGAACACTTCGGCCTCTTGGTTTGTGTGCCTGGTGTACAGCACGGTGATTTTTTTTTTTTCCCCCCCCTGGTGTCAGATTATAAGTGCTTCACTGTAGCAACCAACGTGTTGTTACTGTAAACTGCTAAAGGACTGCTGTATGCAGGGGCTGGATGTCCCAGGTGAAAGCTGCTTTGGCTGGCCTGTTCTTGGGGCAGGAGAACTGAACTGATTAACAAACCAGAAAAGCAAGTATCTGCTTTGCTGCAGTAACTTGCAAGTATCTGTGCTCCTTTCCTGCCTACCTGCACCTATCTGTGCTCCTTTCCTGCCTTTTCCTTTAGAGAAAAGCTAATCATCCCCCCGGCTTTTTTTTTTTTTTTCTCTCTCCTTTTTTGTTGCCTAGACTGGAAAGGGAAGTAGCGGGAGGAAATCAGGTGTGACTGCTGGGATGCTTGGGTACCACTGCAGTGAGGTGTGAAGGCATGGAGAAACACTGGGAGCAAGGCACCTGGGTGGTGTTCAGTGCTGCATAGGAAGCTCTGAAAGTAGGAATCCAGACTCTCTAGATTCTCCTGTCCCTCTGATGCTGGAATTTTTCACTTGGGGACATCACCAGGCTGCCATTAAAAATTGCTGCCATGTTGCAGCACTGCAAACTGAGGTCTGGTCTGGGAGATGGAAGATAAGCTTTAGTGTGGCCAGGTTCACTCTGGGTGTGACGGGTGCTTGTTCAGAGGTGGGATGTTGTGAGGAGATCTGCTGTGACCCATTTCAAGCACCTCAGAGAAGGAAGAGGGCTGGTCCCAGTGAGTAAAATATCCCTAGATTGCTTCTGCATCCTGCTACCTTTCCCCAGCACAGTGCTACTCTCTCCCTGAGCAAACTTAGTCCTTTACATATTAAAGGTGTATTAGCAGGGAAAATGGTGGAGGGGAAATAACACAAGCAGGCTTCAGCTAGCTAGCAGGAGATACTCAACAGATGTGTTGCTGGGCTGTGGGGCCCATGTGTAACTGCCCATCCTGATTTCCTCTCCTGAAGTGCCATGTGCTCAGAGCACCGGTACAGGGGCTACCCTGTGGAACCAAAAAAAAAAAATCAGCATGCAGAAGTGGGGACAGAGGGGTCCAAGCTGCTTGTGCTGTCTAGGGCTTGCTGAGGTAGCTCATCTCCTCTGAGTAACTCCCTGCTCCTGCCTGAGCAACTGGCAGAGGACTCTGCAGATAGTCTGCCCCCTTATGCATCTCACAGGTAGTCCAAGGGTTCTTGTTTGGGAGAGCAGCTGATGACTCCTCATACCTCTGTTGTATGTCCTACAACTCTGGGCCACGCATACAACTTGTAGGATGAAGAAGGCTGTGGAAGCCTTGAGAAAGCTTGTGTGCATGTCCATCAGTCCTGCTGGCTTTGTAGAATGACAGATGGAGGTTATCTGTGTGCTTGGAGGAGCAGGGGAGTGCCAGAGCTCAGAGATGCCCATCCATGTCTCACTCCGTGGTGGAGCTGTGGACCCATCTGCCCCAGCCAAACCCCACAGGCTCTTGCTCCCAGAACTCAGACTGCGAATGCTTCAGCCTCTTGACTTGCACACAGGTGCAGAGATGCTGCTGAGATGGTTTACAAGTAACCTTCCAAGGGTTAAAGTATTGTGAGAAGGTTGCAAAGGGCTGAAGCCTGGAATCCCCTCGATCCCTTGCCTGAAGAAACACAAAGTCCAATAAGCCAGCACCCCTGGATTCATGTTGGGGGGGATTAATTCATGCACTTGATGTTAAAGCTTGTCCGAGAGGTTTGCACGGGGGGGCCATTGCTAGGGCTGGTTGGCCTCTCTAAATGGTTGCTAGGGCCCTGGCATCAAGGGCCAATGTAGCTGCCCACAGCCACGGTCACGGAGGGAATTACACAGCCACAAAGAAATTGTTATTCTACATAATCTGCTCTTTGGAGAGTGACTGTGGGGGAACAGGCTGGCCCCAGCATGCCGCCAGCTCTGTGATCATAGAAGCGTGCTGGCTGCAAAGATCGGCCAGGGCTCGCCTTCTGATCTGGGGACACCAGGACTCGAGGCACTAATCTGCTTTATCAGCGATTTCTCTCTCCTGACACAAAGGTGTTTACTTGTTTTAACATCTCCTGGGACTCTATTTCTCCTTTTGTGTGGTCTTTATCCCCCGATGAGGGCTTTAGCCCAGATTACAGACAGAATTAAGGCATTTGGCGATGTGCCTCAGAACTGTGTGATGCTGGATCAAGGAGCAGAAAGTAACAAAATAATGGGGGGAGATGCTGGGAGTGACCCCACTGCGGGGTCCGTGCTGTCGGCTTTCAGGACCGCTTCATTGTCCTGAGAACCAAGAGTCTGTTGGAGAGGGGTGGCCATGTGGCAGGGTTTGAAAAGCAGGTGCTTCAAGGCTTATTGTGTCCAGCATTTTTGATTTAGAGGGTGCGAGGAGGAGGAGGAGGAAGAACAGGAGGGTTTGCAATAGGTGGGCATTTCAAGCAGCTGGGCAGATTGTTCCCTCCATTCCCGAGAGGCTGCCACGGCTGGGTGTTGCTGGCTGCTGGGGCAGGTGGAGTGAGACTGAAGACGGGCTGTGCCATGTGCCTGCTTCAATTACATATGGCCCAGGGAAGGGGCTCAAGCTCCTTCTTGCAGTCTGGCAGGATGGGCCCTCACCAGGCACCATCCACCTGGTGAGCTGCTGGTTCTGCACATGACCAGGCAGCAGAGTGACACGGCCACAAAGCATCTGACTTAGAGCTGCATGGAGATCTTGCTTTTTGCTCTTTCACAGCAGGCAAGGAATGAAAAAGGAGGAGGAGGTCCAAAAAAATCCACCTAGCCTTTGGAAAGTCATCTCCAGAGCAGCCCTGGGATGGTTGTTCTTGACCTGTCATGTTCAGTCACAGATATGATGTTTGCAGTATACAGGGTAACTGGAGGGGGTTGAGGAGAACAGGCTGGGTCAGGAGAGTCTGATTTGTCTGTGGATCTGAACTGTGTGTCAAAGAGAAGGGAAAATACCCCAGTGGGTAGTATTTTGGAGGACAGAGTCTGGGATGGGATGAGATTGACCAAGAAAGTGGCTGTTGCAGATTATCTGGAGTTTGACTAAGTTGAGAATTGTCTCCCATAGAAATGGAGCCCAATCATTGAGAGTACTGGTTGCTTCTCCCAAGTGAAATATCCTGTTCTACTGGGGGTCAAGGTGTGCCTGTTCCTTGGCTCTTCCTCTTACAGCTGTGACTCCTGCTGGTCACCCTCTGTGACAGTGGCCCAACCAGTAGCAGAAGTTAAGGGATGGAGAGGAAAACTATTCAGGCTTTTGCATTCTGTTAAATCACAGAAATGAGATCTAGGAGATGTCTGTGACACCATCTCTGCTTTGGCCAGCTGAGTTGGAAGGGTGCTTTGTTTTGACTCTTCCCCTACTGTGTTTCATTGCAGTGGTCAGCTGTTGACCTGTTTAGGGACTGACTTCCACCGTGGAGCCGGAGTCCTTGATGTCTTCTATGAAACGCCCTCCCTTCTCCTTTCTTGTGGGTATGACACCTACATCCGCTACTGGGACATACGGACCAGCACAAGGTGAGCCTACCCTGCTGGCACCTGGGGCCCGTGTGAGGCTCCTGGGCTCTCCTTGTGCAGCGTCAGGGGACTCGCCTGTAGCTGAATTAGCTCCTTCAGGCAAATTGCACCTCGGTTCCAGTGGTGGAGGAGTGGAGGCTCAGCCCCTCTCTGGTTTGTGTTGCCCTTGCAGGAAATGTGTCCAGGAGTGGGAAGAGCCCCACGACAGTGCCCTGTACTGCATCAGGAGTGATAAGAACCACATGATTGCCAGCGGCTCTTCTTACTACGGCGTGGTGCGCCTCTGGGATAAGCGGCAGACTCGGTGCCTGCAGGTGAGCTCCAGTCGGAGGCTGGGCAGCAGCAGAGCTTCCTAGTTGTTCACTGTCAGCCCAGTGCCTGTGTCTCTTTGGAAGAGAGAGGGGCTGCTGGGCTGTCTTCGGGGTGAGCCCACCATGCTGAACCTAACCTAAAAAGAGGGAAAGGCCTGCTTTGGTCAGTCATCTTGGCTTTTCGGTCTGTAACACCAGCTGGGTTCTTTGGGCTGGCCTCTTTGAAAGGTTGATTCTCTCGTTTTCTTGCAGAGCTTTCACCTGTCTTCACCCACCAGCAGCCCAGTGTACTGCCTCCGTTTCAGTACCACCCATCTGTACGCTGCCCTGGCATCAGCCCTGCATGTCCTAGACTTCACGGCCCCATGAAGGGCACCATAGCTGCTTTGGGTCACCCCAGCTCAGCAGAGTTGACGCTTGGCTCAGGGAATCGCAGGGCAGGAGAGGTGAGAATGGCCTTCAAGGCTTCTGAAGGGATTTTTTTGCCTGCCAGAAAGCTACAATGAAGAGTGCACAAAGGGCCAGACTCTCTCAATCTCACCTGCCTGTTAGTGGAAATAAAGGCTGATTGTCCTTTACCCTTTTCATTTTGTGCAAGTCAGGGTTTGTTTTATTAACTGTGTTCTTTTTTCTTTTTTTTTTTTTTCCTGTGGATGCAGCATTTGAGGGGCAAGTTGAGCCAGGATGCCCGGTCAGCCATGTGTGCTGGTCAGGTTTTGATCAGCAAAGCTCTGAGCCATGTGAAGCAAGTCTAGGCTGTGTATGGGGTGGACTGCTTTGGTGGGAAAGGTGCCGGGAGTGGTGCCCACCTTTCATCTGTGCTTGCTCTCCTGACAGCTGCTCGTGTTGTCCTTCACAGCCAAGAGCAAGAATTGAGCTAAAAGGCAGAGCCAGCCCTGCTTTCAGTGTATGCCTCCCCAAGCTGGCCATCAGGTCAGGCTGTGCACTTGGCAGGGCTGAAACAGTCACATTTTGCTAAATAAAACTCTGAAGGGAAACAAAAGAGACTCTATGTTTTGTTTCAAGTTCCAAAGGGGCTGCGATGTTACCCACTGATCACAGAGGCTGGGCTGGGCAGAGGAGGTTGGGCCTATTTTCAGATGCTGTCTACATGTCTGATAGATCTCTCTCCCTGGCTAGATGCTGTGACACTGCTGTGTTGAAGGCAGTTCCTGGGATCTTAGATCTCATGTCACTTGTTCAAACAAGAATTAAAAAAGTAGGTTCTGCAGCTTACTCACTGCCTATGTAATGAAGCAGCATACTGGACTAGAGTAAACACCGAGGCCTTGGTGTTATTTGCTGGGGTCCTGTAGGCACATTTGAGGTGGCTCTGCTCCTTTTTGTGTCAGCCTTTGGAACCCCAGCTGGCTCTCAGAATAACCCTGGCTTTCAGCATGCTCTGTGCTGCCTGGATGAATCTGCAGTGGGTGACTGCGGCGGGGAGGAGGTGCGTGACCCAAATTCACGACCAAGTAGGGTTATCCTGGACAGACAAAGGAGAGGTTTTGTATCACAAACTGGGAACACTTCTAGGGTGAAGCACCCAGCATAGTGCTTTGCTAGAAATTCATAGGTAATTCCCACTGGCAAGAGACTGCTCTTCCCTTGTGATGTATAAAAACTGGAAGAGAATCTTTGCTGGAGCCCCTGCCTGGAGGGTGTGAAACCAACCAGCTCCTCACCTTGAAGGGAGCTCTCCCTTCCCAGTGGCTGAGACACAGCAGCTCAGGGTACGAAGTAATTTAAAAGCATGGCTTTACTACAGGATCACATTCTCACAGTGATCTTTCCAGGACAGCTCCCTACCTGTTATTCTGCTGCCACTCGTGCCTGCTTGCTGGCAGCTCCCTTGTGGCTACCATTGTGCTACGGGTTCTGTTTGTGTAAGTGGCAGTTGATGTCTGAGAGTCCCAAGCAATGATCTATTGCCATGGCTGGAACAATCTTCAAACAACTCAAAGCTGTAGATCCCAAAGACTGCCCAGGATAATTCTGAGGGGACCTCTGGGTTATTGGTAACACTGAGCTGTTCCTGAAATGGTGCTTTGCATGAGGGGTTTGCTAAATCCTGTTGCTGTATTGCTTGGGGCACTTGGGGCTCTGCATGTGAGGAGAGCTTTAGGTACGAGATAGAAGAGCAGAGAGAGCGAGCTGGTAGACCTTGGGAGTGGAGGTGGTCTGTTTTTTCTCAGGTCCTGTGTGTTACATGTCCTTTAATGAAATTGGGAGGGAGGGAAATATTAAATGTGTGGCAGTCTCGCCAGGAAGAGGCTGGGAAGGAACCAGAGTAACTGTAGCATGGGAGAAGGTTCTTTATTGCACCAGGACTTGGGTAAGGTCCAGAGTAGGACAGAGCATGTGAGTTGAACAAGCAAACAGGTGTCACTGCTGCCAGTCCTGCCATTTCTTTTTTGCAGCATGTGTTGGCAGGTCCTGCACACTTGTAGCAGCTTTTCGGTTCTTCCTGGCTGAAGCTGTAGCCCCATGGTGGGTAGAAGGGTGCACTCACATCTTGGGGGACTCTGGGGAATGGGGAAGCTGCAAGTGGGTCTGGTGCAATGGCTCTGGTGAGCTCTGCCAGTCCATGGTGCCCTTGTTGTTTTGGGAGGACTGTGTAGGTGTGTCCTGGGCCCACCCAACAGTGAGGTTCAACTGGGGAATGCCTCCCAGGCTCTAAGGAGTTTCGTGCTTCGAAAGGCAGCCCTTGTCAGGAGGGGAGCTGTGCTGTGGCCAGCTTACTTAAAAGTAGGGTTGGTTTGAGTAGGAGCTGTTCAAATATGAACTGGAATGGAAGGAAGGGCAGATAGCTGTTGCAGGGTAGAGACAATAACTGGTTGGAGGGAAAGTTGCTAAATCAGCGCTGCTGGGGTTGTCCCTATGCATGGGTGCTGTCCACACACTGAGGTTTGTGCTGAGCCATGTCTGTGCCCTCGTGGAAGGGGTGTGCTGCTGCTACTCCTGAGCTGTCCTTCCCCCTGTGCCATGCAAATGAAGGCAGCTGCATTTTGGTTCCTGCACCCTGAACATCATGTTGCTCACAGCTGGCGGTAAGGAAGCAGTTGGGTGTCCTCTTCATCCCTGTTTCATAGGCTGTGCCCATGCACATCTAAGCACTGATACTGTTTGCAGAGATACCAGGGTCACCAGAGCATCCTGTCTGCACAGAAGACCTTGCACAACAGCTTCCAAGCGCCTCCCAGGCAGGTAAGGGGTGTGAGGAGGGGGTTCTCGTTTTCCAGGTTACTGCCTTCAGCAATGGAGGCAGACAGAGAGAGTTCAGCTACCCAGCTTTCATGTCGCTTCTGCTCAGGGAGCATGGGGAGAGGGCTGCTGGCTGTGGATGCAGCGTGCTTCCTTTGCATGCTGCAGCTTCTCACAACTCATGGAAGGATCATAAATGTCTGTGTAAATCAGCAGACTGGGCAGTACAGAGATCGACTGCCTCACAGTCTCCCTGGGCCTGCAACGATTCCTCCAAACGGCTCTATTAACAACAGGACTAACTTTTATTAGAAAAGGCAAAATAAATACCAGGAAGCTGTGACAGAGAGCCACCCCCCACCTCAGCTTCTGAGCAGCCACTGCCTACTGGGTCTTACAGTCGCCCTCCTCATTGTTAGCTGCCTTTATCTTCTTCAGCTCCTTCTGCAGCTGCTCTTCTGCAGCCAGGATCTCCTTCGGCTTCTGGTACTGTAGGACAGAGAGAGACGTCCTTAGTGCTCCTGTTCAGCCTCTGCTCTGAGCTGACCCAGTGGGGTCAGTGCTCCTGGCACAGCTAGGGACCTCCTGCCAAGGGAGGCCTTTCTGTTACCAGCCCCCTCGGAAGCCCCTTGGAGAGGTGGTGCCATGGTGCTAGGGACACTTGCCAATATCTAGAGTGTCTTTTACAGTGCAAGTAAAACTTTCCAGTTGGATGTGGAGTCCTGGCCCCCACCAACCCCTCTGGAATATCCTGGCAAGCTCTGTGATGCAGATCCCTGGTGTGATCACTGGTTGTATGCTCACATATGTTATATATAACGCACATTATTTAAAAGGCAGAGAAGTAAGATTTGCTGTTCCTCTATCTTCCCCTCAGAGCCCCCTTGCCCAGCTGCCGTTTAGTGGTGGATGCAGGTGCTTTTTGGCAGGGGTTTGGCCTTTAGCAAACAGAAGCTCAGGACTCAAGGTGTTCCTCTTGGCCTATTTCCTCTGCACGTGCAGTCCCAGCTCTGCTGCAAAGTTTCCCTCGGAGGGGATGCTCTCTGGGTAGCTGACTTCCACTTTTAAGAGGAGTACCTGCTGCTCTAAAGCATCCGTCTGCCTCTGTCTGCTTCTTGCAACAACAAGGAAGTGCCCATTCTGCTAGTCTCTCACTTCCATCATGTGCTTGGAAGTGTGTCCTCTCCAACACAAAGCAGCAGGTGACTTTAAAATTTTGTTCAAGACTGTGAGGCCTCTTAAGTGCAGCAGGTCCTTGGACTCAACACAAGAGAAACTTGCTGTCACAAGAGTAGAGGCTTACTCAGGCTTGAGGGGAGGGGATACATGGAAAACAGGGCATGACAGACACTCTTCCACCTGCAAGTCACCTTGAGCAGCAAGCAGGGCCCCTCCTGTGGCCTGGGCTGTCCTGGCTAGTGTCAGCATGCCCAGTGTAATCTGAAACTCCCACTGACTGTGTGACAGAGAAGGGGGCTCATCAGTGACCCTCAGCAGATCTCCCTGCTCTGCCTCATTTCCCCACGTGTAAGAATTTTAACTTCTTTGTGGACATAAAGAGAAGGGCAAAGTGCTGTTCTGCGTGGCTAAAACCTCACCGTGATTATCAGGGTGTTGTTGGCATGGGTGAAGCTCAGGGCAGCTGCATCCAAGGGGAGCTGGTATCGGTCCAGGTCAGGAATAGAGAACTTCTTGTAGTACCTACAAATGAGAGAAGAGACAAAAATGAGGAAGGTGGGGTACCTATTCCCCTGCTAGCAGTGCTGAGCTATGGAGTGCTGTTCTACAAGGTGTAGATGCAGTCAGTAAACCTCTCAGGGTTGGCAGGAGGACCCTATGACATGTGTGCCTGCTGGTGCATCCAGGCTGACAGGAGCACTAGAAACAAACTAGAAACAAAGTCCTGAAGGGCTTTGGTGTGTGAGAGCAGTCTTGTTCTCTCCAGCTTGCCCTTGAGTAGTGCCAGACATGGTTAGGGACAGACTACTCAGTCCTAACAAGAGGTGTCCTTTGTCTTTGTCCCTACAAATGGCCTCTCCTTCCCACTGAGTACCAGAAGCTCTCATTAACTCTTGGCAAAACAGCTGTCAAAGCCCTGGTGCCTTGTTACTTAACTTTCCTGAGTGATGCAGCATTTTGTGTTGCAATCCTTCCTAAATCCATCTTTTTTGGCCTCTTGCTGTGCTTCCTAGAAAACTTCCTGCTTCAGTGGCACAGGGGTGCTCAGGTGTGCCCCTGGGCACAGAGCTCCGGGTGTAGGTGCACACCGTCACCTGAGCCTCTGTTCTGCAGTGTGTGGCTGTGGTTCTCCTCTGCACTCCCAGCTCCCCTAGTTGTTCTTTCCCTGGTCTCTATCCCAGTCTCCTGATCACCTCTCACACCCAAGCAGAGGACAGAGAGGTTTTTGCCAGCTCCCTATCCAGCCTGTCTCTCTCCACCAACCAAACCTTGGGCTCTGCTCAGTAGGAAGAAAAGGGGATATGTCTCAAAACTGGAGGGGTTATAAGCTGTCTAGGCAGCTAAGAGATTTCCTAAGACGTTGGGACCAGAACCTTGTAGGCCTGTGTCTGCGTTTGCCTGAGACCTTTCTTGCTTGGCATGGCTTGCCCTGCATCTGCTGCTTCTCTCCGGCTGCACCAAATACACTAGTTGGTCCCGTGCCCATGTAGAGGCATAGCTGAGTTCTTAATCTGTTCCAGCACTCTCGTGGGCAACTCCCTCCAAGGAACTGGCCTGTAGCTGGTACTGAAGTGCCCAGAGCAGGAATAGGCAGTGGCTGCTGTCATGCTATGAGGGGTTCTTCTCCATTCAGCTGGCTGCGTGTGAGGCTTGGCCTCTCTAGCTACCTCTGCCCAAATTGCAGTTTATTTTCCAAGTCACGGTGAAAACAGCTACAAAGGGCAAATGGCTCTCCTGGTGCAGTGAGAGGAATGTACGCAGCTTGTTACCGCAGGGCTCAAACCGTTCTGTGTTGTCACTGCTGTCGGTATTTGGAAAAGGTGGCAGACATGGATAATAAGGGAGATGTCAAAGGTTAAACAGCAGAGATTAGATGAACACAAAGACATGTTAAGGAAGTGTTAACTTCTTACCGACAAAAAAAAAAAAAAAAAGCAGTACACAGAAAAAAAACAGTTTCAAAGGGCCTTGGGAGTCATCAATGAAACAGCAGCATTCTGCTGCCCCAGGACTAAGGAGAAGGGGAAAAGAATGGCTTTGGCTGGCCTCAAACTAAAATCTGTGACAAGATCAAAGGAAACCAGATCTGCCTGGCCACCCCCTCCTCCTCCTAACATTACCGCTGCCTCTCGCTACAATAATTGAATCAGGTTTGGCGTTTGGGGAGGTGGCTTTCTGGGTTTGTTTTTAGAGTTCAGTTTAATGGATTTATTTTACAGCAAGAGTTTTTAAGCAAATCCTACTTGAGCGGCCCTTGCTGTGGCTAGAGGGAACGGGAGTAACTAGGAGTGAAGAGCTCCTGTCTGGGCTGGAGGTAGCTGATGGGCGGTCACCCCTGCTGAGGCAGGCAGATTCTCTGCCCTCGCCTCTCACCCCATGGCCAAGGGCAGTATTGCACTCTGAGCCTGGGTCCTGGCCTGAGATCCACAGTGCGTATGTGGTCACCTCTTATTATTTTCCTACTGGAAACCCACTTTTTGTCAGCCTGTAGGGAAAACTGCTACTGGTATGCTGAGAATTTAGAGCTGAACTACTCAGTAGTGACTTGGCAACCCATCCTGTTGCTTGTGCTTCTGGCTGGCGGTCAGCACAGCTCTGTTGCTCAGAAGCAGTGTGGCTGACTTCCAAGGGCTGGAGAGGCTCCGAGGCTTCCTTTCACTCCCGTAGTGATGTGCACGCTCTCTGTGGACTCCATGCGTTTGTAGCTATCTTGGAATTAGTTGCTGAGTGGTGCCTTTGCCCTGGCCGAGACCCAGGAAAAATGATATAAGATATCCTGGAGCCTGTACTAAGTGTTTTGGTGCTGGTATCTGTCCCTGTTCCCTACTGACAGCAAAGTCATTCTTGTCCCCAATGAGACGACTTGTAACTTTAATTCCAAAAGTTCTTAACTTTCATGTGCAGGCCATGAGCTGCTGTCAGGTCCTTTAACTATCTCTGACACTAGCCTACGAGTGTGTAGGTGCTGGCTGCTTGTGGGGACTCTACCGTTTTCCTGAGAGTGGTACAAAAAAGCTCGAAGTCAGGTAAGGCATGGGTGAAGCCTCAGTGGTACGTTATAACCTTACAGCACCTACACAGGCAAGAAAGTTCCCACATACACAGTATTAGTAGGACTGGAAGTAGATAAGCCTGTCTGCGATAGTATATATGTGGTCAGTCTTAGGCTCATGTACTCCCTTCCTGTCCTAGCTCCATGTGTATTCACATGTGGCTGATGGGAATCTCGTTCATCTTTGCTACACAGGGCTCCCTACTAAAGTGCCACTCTTATGTGAATCCCTCTGTATGCATTTAGGCCAGCATTTTTCTGTATTAGAGCTGTAATTGCTGTTTTCATGGGATAGACTCCGACTTCCTCCTGTCTAGCCTCCCCCTGAGCGTCCAGGTGTGCTCATGTGCAGAGCTCAAATCCCCTTGCCACGGCTTCTCGTGTGGTAAACTTTTGCCTGAATATTTGCGGATTCTGCGATCTGAAAGGCGTTCAGCAGCCAGAGGAGCAGTTCTTTGCCAACAGCACCACCTACAGCCAACTACAAAGAGCAGCTTAAAGAGAGCAGGGGCGGATTGGGAAGCACTGGGCTTGATTTTACCCATGAATCTTATCTTTCTGTGTTCTGTAGCAATGTTGGGGAGGGAAGGCAAGCAGAGAGCAGCCTGCTCAGCTTTCCATCCTGGTGTATTATCTCGGTTTGTAAATAGCTTTCACTTTCTTCCAGTATTCTCCCTTGTTCTCCTAATACTTGCTATTTCTTCCCAATACTACTGTTCATCCTGACTTATCTCACCAAAGCTGTAAATGCTTTGGGCACAGTGTGTGTCTCACGCAGTGAGAGATGCCACATACTGACATAGTATAAGATGATGGGTTTTTTTCTTCCATCTCAATTTTCTTTTGGCAGAATACTGAGGTCCTTCCTTTCCAGATTCAGTCTGCCTTTTTTTCTTGCTACCTCCAGATCATGTCATTGGCGTTGTGACTACAGACAGGTTTACGCAGGGAGATCTGCAGCTCCATGCATGCTGATACAATGACTAGATCAAAGTATCGTGTCAGAGGGAGAAGATGGAATTCTCTAGCTTCAAAAGGTCTGCAAGGCTCTTTATTTTTCTAAGGGAGCAACGTTTCACAGCAGAAGAGAGCAAACATCATGCTACTGGAACTGTGAGGTGAGGTAACTTTGCAAAGGCCAGCTCAGAGCTTGAGGGGTTCTACTGTAAACGTGTCTGTGGCAGCTGGGAGTGGAAATTGGACAGCAGGAGACACACAGCTGCGAGGTGGGGCCCCTCAGCCCTTGCACACTATGGACAGAAGGCAAGAGAGGACAACCCCCCCTGTGCAATCACTAGCCTGCCCACTGTGCCAGCCCACCCCAAGGGACTGTCAGCACTGGCAGTGCTGTCCTTACTGACTTCTTGTTGGTGGTCCGGATGACACAGCACCGCTGCTCCTTCTCCACAGAGACGCTGTAGACTTCCTTGGGGTAGGGCAGGTTACGGATCCGCCACTGGAAGCTGCTCAGGGTATCCTTCCTCATGAAGACAGGCTACATCAAACAAGAACCTTTAGCAAGACCCCTCCAGCTGTCTCCTCTCCTCCTTGCCCCCTTCTTGTACTATCTTGAGAGGGTCCATGTGGGAGTAGCTCTTTTTCTCACTGAACAATTAGGGAGCAACTCAAACTGGCTGAGCAGAACTTTTCTAGAGCTAGTACTGCTCTGCCTTTACCCAGGGACTGCCTGCCCTGCTTGTAGGAGGTTGAAAGTCTTCAGCAAGGGAATCTTGCAGCACAGGGTTACAGGGAAACCAGGCCTATTCCTCACAGGCCACTGAATACTGAGCTCTGCCTACCCTAGGGACCTGCTGGACTCAGTCCTGTCTCTGCCCCAGTCTGCTGTGCAGGGCTGTGCTGTGTTTTAGATCTGTAGAAAAGATGGTGAGAGACTAAAACCTAAGATAGAGGGATGTGAAGATGAAACAGTCTGTGCTAGGTTAATGAGCAGCCTGCTATGCACTACCTGTGTTGTTCTTTCATTGTCATCACCTCTGCTTTCCATCCACTGACTTGTCCTGGCACTGGCCTTCCTTTCAGCCTACTCTTTTGGAAGCCAGAATAGCAACATTGGCCAACACAGCAGAAGCTTCTCTACTTAAGGAAACTACAAATCTCTTGAAGACCCCAAAAGAATCCAAGCTGTTCCATCTTTCTAGCCAGCCCTGCACCTCTGGGATGATTTATAGTAGTGCTGGGCAGGTTAAGGCTGTCTTTTGCGGCTGTGAGTGTTCTGCTGTCTACCAACTACTGCTGTAAGCACAAGACTAGGTTGTTTTAGGTGCAGTCATGCTGCAGACCCTTACATACATTGGAGCTGCTTTCCTTTATGAGCTCTGATTCCAGTGCTCCCAGCAGCGGCGAGGTTGGCTCTCCCACTTCAACCTGCCACTTCCCAGAGCCCCCAAGGGTGTTCTTCTCTCGCCATTTTCTACCTGTGAAAGGGAAAAGAAGGGTTTTCATTATTCTGGTCTTTTAGAAGAACTCCAGCAAATGACTGCCAAAACTGCCCAGCACACTGAGATGATATGAAGATATAAATCTTAATTCCAGTCATTTCCACATTGGTGTGAGTGGATCTGTTAGCTGGCCTATTCTTGAACTCAGAAATTCTGTACTGAATGCCTCTTTTTTACTACTTTGTGCTGAAGCCATGGTGAGGTTGCAACAGGTGCCATGCTGCTGGCGATGCGGTTTTGGATGAGAGCCATAACCAACACCTTGCTTGTTTGTGGTTGGAGAAACCACCAAAAAGCATATTTTACCCCAGCATGTACTACAGATTCAGTTCCTGGCTATGCAAGATGTCAAATCCATTTAGTCTGTCTCAGCTGTTGTGACAGGTGAGCTGCTGGGGAGAGATCCTGGGCTAAAGCAAGGTCTGCTACGCCATGGAAGTCAGAGCGCCCTGGGCCCAAACTGAACCATACAAAATTCAGCTATAGGTATGCTTATCTCCCAGAATATTCAGGGGCGATTTGTTCCTCACCAGGCTCCCTCTCAACACCCCGGCCCTGCAAGTGCAAACCTGCCATGTGTGCCCCAGTTGTGCCCCAACCCACGTCTGCCAGGGGCCCCCTGAGAGCTCCACTTACTCACTAACTGACCACTCTTCATGTCGTACTCTTCGGCCATCTCCTTCCCATCCTCGAACAGGTAGTGGACCTTCCGCTTCCCTAGAGGCAAGGCAAGGGGTGAGGGGAAAGGGGCAGACACCTATACCTAGATGCAGGGCTCTGTCCCGCTGCCCCGGGCCGCGTCCCCCAGCTGGTGGCCTCGGTCCTTTGCTGGGGTCCTGCCCCGGGTGCAGGTCCCCGGGACCGCTCCGTCCCCCCGCCCGGCAAGGTTAGTGATGGTAAAGCTGCAGTTGTAACTGTAGTGGACCTGACTAGTTAATCTTTACAAATTTGCTATTTCCAGCTGAAGCGGTGTTGGGGCTTTTCCTCCTGTGACTGTATGAAACGCTTGGTATTGAGCAGCTGCTATATCTCTTCTTGTTGGTGACTGGATTTCAGCCCTGTCAGGACAGGCATTCCCTCTTTAAGGGAATGTGCTTAAGAAATGTCTGGGAAATAAAGTTGCTTCTGGAGCTCCAAAATTTTAAAGTAGTTCAATACTTTCTATTGTAAGAACCCAGGGTTACTGGTTTCTGAGGTATTCAACCAATGTCTTAAGTTGCTTTTTGATTACTTCTAATTTTTCTGAGCTTGTGGACTGAAGTTCTTTTTTCCAGGTGCCTTCCTCAGGGCAAGCATTTTTGGAAGGCAACAACAAAAAAAACCCAAACCAACAAAGTCAATGAAACAAATAAGTGAATCTAAAGTTGTTGTGATTGTGTAACACTGTTCTAAACAACCTCCCTCTTCCTTACTGTTATTCAGCAGTTGCAGCTAAACTTCCCACCAGGCCTATGGAGCCACGAGGTATTGTCAAAGCCTTTCCCAAGAGGAAGAAGTTGAGAGATGACTCACAGAAAAGCATCCCTCCAAAGATTTCAAAAGAGGAAGGAACAGAAACACCTGAGGGTAAGTCCTGCATGCTCATGATGTGGAATGTAATACTTCTACCCTAGCTTGTTAACTGCAGGTTCCCATTCCCCCAAAGGCTGGAAAGCCTGGCCCCCAAGTGTGTTTTCTGTAGAGGCTGTGTCCAGGTTGCTTTGATGTGTCCAGATGGTGCCCCCAAAGACTGCCTGCCACTGTTGGCGCCATCAAGTCCTACATGAGCTATGTAGCCCAGTTGGTTTGGGACACTGTTACTCTTGCCACTGAGCCCCTGCCTCTCTTTTCCTCAGCAGAGTGGCTGAAACCAGTCACCGCCTACGTGTTGCAAGCTGGCATTGGCCAAGCCAGGGCGGAGATCTTCCACAAGCAGATCGTCCACAATGGGGGTGTTGTACACAACCAGCTCTCCTCGGAAGTGACACACGTCATTGTGGCTGAAGACATGAACTGTGATCGAGCCTTGCGTCTCCTTAAATTAACCAAGCTACCGTCAGGGTTGCAGCTAGTGAAGGCATCCTGGCTAAGTGCTTGCATTAGAGACCAAAAGCTGCTGAGTACTGCCAGCTATGGTGTCTTTATGCCTCGCAGGTATGCAAATACTATGCTGTCTCATTCTCACCTACAGTGTTTCTATCCTAAACTGAACAGTACTAAAATCTGGCCTCTGCTCAAAGTCTCAAACTGCAACTCTTTGCAGCTCCTGTGGACATGACTCAAAGTCACTTTTCCACATACAGACTGTGAAATTTAGTGACTTTGTGACCAGTTGTTGTTCTGTGAGGTAACAAAAATTGTAATAGGGCCCAGAAGTGCTAACAGGAGTCCTGTCACTTGCTACAGGTGCTAAAGGCACCTCTTCATAAACCATCAGTGATAACAAGATTTCTTTTTAAAATGCTGAGGATTAAATGCTGTTTCTTACTTTCAGATGAAAAGCAGAGAGAGAATTGACAAGTAGGCATAAGAGGAAATAAGGAACGGAGCAGCAGGCAGCCACAGTTTAGGATCACAGTTTTGGCAAAGTTTTGGAGAAAGAGTCTAAGAGTGAGATAGGTAGGAGTGGAAGTTGTAGGTCAGCAAGGTAGTTGAAAATGGGGGAACTGAACCAAAACCAGAGTAATTTATCTGTGATCTGAGTGAATACAATTCATATGGGTTGTTTGCTCCATCCCAAAACATGCAGAAGAGTTTCTCAGTCAAACTTCTGGGGGCTGAGAAGTTTTCCTTCTCTTATACTAAGGCATCTGATCCATGGCAGGTACCTGGAGGAAGGAGAACTGCATAAAGAGCAGCAGCAGCAGATCCTGGGCAGTGAAAAGACACAGCTTCCAGCAGAGGAGAGAACAGTGAAACCAAATACTGAAGCACAGGTGGGGGATTCCTTGAAGCGAGGCCTGGGCACCCTTGGACAGCAGCAACTGCCTGAGGTGAGGCTTCCCACAGAGGCCCTTCTCCTTGCGAACAGATCCCGTATGCTGGTTTTCCAGCAGGGATACAATGCCAAACTTTCTCACAAAGGGAAGGTGTTTGGATGTTTCAGTGGGTTGGTGCTGGCAGGCTCAGGCTGTGGACATGGTTACTGCTGCTCTTTGTCCCCCTAGGTGTTAAAAGTAGAAATAACACCCCTTAAATTCTCATCCCCATCAGAACATTTCCAGCTGAAGCAGTCCTGGTGCTCTGATCAGGCCAAGGCTCACTCTGGTGATCATTTTTCCCCTGCATCCTTTTGAGGAATATTCCCTGGCTGAGAGTATCCCCCTTTCAGGAAGCTGTCTCTGGTATTTCATCTCATGTTCTTACCTGAGCCATAGTGACCCATTCTCTACTCCTCAGCAGGCACCCTGTTCAGACACAGGTGCAATGGATCAGGTTGCCACTTGAACGATTGTGGTGATGAACTTAAAATATCAGTGTTGGATTATTAGTGGCCGCTGCTGTGAGTTGGCTTCTCTGACCTGCTGTTAGCTTGCTTTCTTTTCTCTGTACTTTTGCTCAAGTTTGCTAAATTCTTTTGGGGCATTGACATCTTTCAAATCTATCTGTAGCAAAGTTACCCCTGACCTCTTAGAGCAGCAGCTGCCTTGTAATGCTGGCATGTTTTCTAACACAGTCCCAAATTTTGTTTCACAAAACCCTGTGGTTACTCCCTAACTGGCAGCCCACCGAGGACTCTTTTGTTTTAGGCTTTTTCTCCCCAGACTTACTATCCAGTGTTCTGTAGGCAGAGTTGACTCCTTAACTGCATCACCTTTGCAGTTACCCAATCTTTGCTGTTTCATGTAACTCTGATTTAGTGGTAATTGTAATTAACAGATCTCACACTTAACAGGAGAAAGGATCTTTTGTACTGTTACAGATCCCGTGGTATCTACCCTGCTTCCTGTTCACCTTTACTTTGGGTGGTCAGACAGCTAGAGTCTGAAGCCTTATTGCCTTTTTCTCTTTTAAATCCCCTCAAGCAATGATATTTCCTGTTAGTCTGTGCACAAAAACAATATTTGTAAATGCTTCAGTAAAATCCCTTGTTCCAAGCTTTGGACTATGGGGAAGAGAAGAGAACACAGGAGATATACTTTAAAGACAGTACCATCCACTTTTAAGACCCAGCTACAACAGTAAAGCTGAAGCTGAAATCTCAGAAGTAGCCTCTGTTTAAGCACAGAATCTTTTCTAGCTTGTGTGAATGTTTTTTCTCTAGGAGATGATGAGTGTGCCAGTGTTTCATACTGAACAGGGGCTGCTCTGGGAGTTTTGCGTTGGGATGTAAACTCCTGTGAGGAAACCCTGTTAGCAGTCAGACTAGCAATGGTTTTGTGACTGGCATCTGGATGCAGCAGTTTTCTGCAAGGTAGCCTTTACAAGTAGTGCCAATTACTCACTGCCTGAACCCTGGGGCTGTTACCCCAGGCTGCCTGCGTCCCTCTCAAGTGGCGTGTTGCCTCAGCTACTGGGCTTCAGCTGCCATCCTGGCTCCTGTGCTGTGCTCTAGACAAACCATGCCTGTCTCAGTCTCACCCAGCTCTAGCAAATCAGCTGCTGTAGGATCCTGGAGTATCTTAGAAGCCAATGGGACTCGTTTTTTTGCACATATGGTTGTAGAGTCCATCAGCTTTGTTGGCAAAGAGTAGAGAGTCAGGGGTTTATTGCTGTTTCACCTGTATGACACTGCCGGCCAAGAGGGTGGGAATTGCATGCCCCAGCTGCAGAGTTCTTTGCATTGCGGTTGGGTAATGTGGTCCTTAAATGCTTTTTAGGGACTGAGTGCTCTAAACATTCTGAGGCTTTGCTGCCCTTAGAGGGATCAGTGTCTTAAGGGAGCTGCATTTCAAGGTGAATAAAACTGCTTTAGTCTATCAAATCCTCAGTCTGACCCAGTTTTCAGAGTTATAAAACAAGATTACAAAAGGGAACCATCCTGCCTCTTCTGCCTAAATACTTCAGCTTTGTGCAGGAATTGTATGTTCAGACCTCCTTAGCCAGCAGAATCAGAGGTTGTAAGATATGGTTTTGACTTAGGCTGACACTGGAGAAACTCGTAACAGACTTGTGTGCTTGTGTGCTGCATGTAGCTGCTGGACTGATCCCAAACAGCCCTGTGCCATTCAGGGTTACTTCCAGAGCAGAGAAGCTCTTGGATCTTTGTCGACTCCTGTGTTTATACGTAAGGAGAGAGGGGGACCTCAGTGAGCAAAGCAATCTACAAAGCCTCTGTGCAACTTCCCACTTCTATCCCCCTTTGTTCGTTACCTGAAGCCAAGGCTCATTGTTTCTTAAGTCTACACAGAGGCATCCTAATGCTGAGGGTATCAGCAAATGTATACATTGGTTCTTTCTTCTGTCACTGAGGAATGTGGAGTCCTTTGTGTCATTCCTTCCTCCCCCTTTTCTCTTGCAGATAGCCATGGGGAAAATGGGGGGTTGTAATTTACTACCCTGTTAAGATTTTGTTCAGTGCCTATCTCCTGTCATCTGTATCATGGGGTGGAAGGTGCAGAGTCTGAATGTGAGAGCTCTGGCTATGCAGTCACCAGACCAGGAAAAGGTTTCCCAGTGGGAGGAGGGAGTCAGGATCTCCCCCAGCCAGGGGTTTCAGCATTGTCATACCATGCTGCTGGCAGCAGTTGCTTGGTGTCTTACCTCAGTTAGGTCTCGGGGGCTTGGTGTGTGCTAGGATCACAGGTCGACAGCAGTCTCTACTCTCCTGTGCTTTGTGAGATGTACATGTAGCTTCAAGGAGTGCATGTGTAGCTTGAGATGTGAAGAGCTATGATGTGCATATAACCAACTGCTTCTAGAGATGGCAGTTTGAGCACTGCATGCCCTGGAGTTTGGTTAGTGCTCTGAATTCCTACTCTAGGGAGCAGCCTGTGCCAAGGGGACATATGTGAGGCATGCACTTATTCTCACATGGCTGCTTTTCTACTTCTCCCTAAAGAAATACTCTGAGAAATACTCTGATGATGAAGACAGCGAAGGAGAAGATGCTAGTGTCACCCAGGGAGATCTGGAAGCATTGATTTCTGGCCGCTACCCTGTGAAATCATCAGAGGAAACCAGTGACAGCTCTTCTGCAATGGCACAGCCTGCCAGCAAGTGGGTTTGTGCCCAGTCCTCCAACAGCAAGAAGGAGAATCACAACCAGTGCATCACAGAGAAGCTGGAAGTGCTGGCAAAGGCCTACTCTGTCCAAGGGGACAAGTGGAGAGCTCTGGGCTACTCCAAAGCCATCAATGCGCTCAAGAGCTACCACAAACCAGTCACCTCCTACCAGGTAAAACACATTCCCAGGGTGGTGGAGCAGGGAGATAGGTGCAGCATCCTAGCTCTGTTATGAGTCAGATCCCTTCTTCTTTCTGTACATAGAATAGCTTATCTTCAGGCCTTGGGAATTCCTTCCTGTGTGGTGACTTCCATGATGGAAGTTGCGTAGCAAGTGCAAGGTGGGATTCATTGACCACCTGCAGTGTTTTCAGAACAGCAGAAAAGTGGTGTCCGAGCCTTTTGAAGGCCAGGTCTGAGTACTCATGAAGTAAATGCCTTGCCCAGGCACAATGCAGGGACATTTTCACCTTATTCTCAAGCATCAGCAACTGGCCACCATCCAGGATAATATATAAAACTAACTGGTTAGATAAAATTAACTTGACTGTGACAGTACAGCCATTCAGTGTGTGAGTGTTTCAGCCCTGTTCTGCATGCTTGGCCTTTTCCACTGGGTGCTGAATCATGGATGGAGCCTATGTAAGCCTGGGCTAGAGAGGAGGCCATTGAGCAGAATTAGTCCTGCCGCTTACTGATCAAAATGACTGACCAGGCTCTGAGTGGGTAGCCACTCCCCAGCTTGCCCATGATCTTCACTTTTCCAGTAGCGGCTCTGGTTTCTTGCTAGGAAGCCTGTAAAATCCCTGGGATTGGGAAGCGGATGGCGGAGAAGATTCTGGAGATCTTGGAGAGTGGGCACCTACGCAAGCTGGATCACATCAGTGAGAGTGTGCCTGTGCTGGAGTTGTTTTCCAACATCTGGGGAGCAGGGGTCAAGACAGCTCAGATGTGGTATCAGCAGGTGAGTTTAGTGCCTTACACAACAGGTTTTCAGACTACAGTTTGAAAACTGCTGCTGAGTGTAGGAGAATTAATTTCACAAATATCTTCCAGTTGCCAATATCCACAGATGGAATTTGAATCTGGTTTTATAGGAGGAGCTGCAAGACTGGGTCCCGTTGTGGGTGTGTTTGGGAATAATGGAGTGCACCCGACTGAGACTTGCATTTGGGTGGGGGTAGAGGGCAAAGATGGGGAGTGGGGGACATGCTGCCTCTTCTGTTGGCATCATTGCTTGGAGCTCATCTCAGACTGCTCATGGAAACACTGCTAAGAACCAGGCTTGAACCAGGACATCCTGGCCATGAAGGCTCCTGATGCAGTTGCTGGCCTTTTGCCCTGGCTGGCTCTGATAGCTGTCAGAGCAGCCGTCCATCTTGTCTGGAAGTTGTAAAAATTAGGTTGAAGTAACTGTGCCAACTGGAGCAACCCAGCCACTGGGTGGGTTCCTTCTTTAAAAATAGTTTGTCTCCTGAGCACAGAGTGAATGAAGCCTGTTTTCCTAGAGTGTTTGGTTTGTGACTCTATTCTTGGCTGTCTTAAAAATATGGTTGTGTTCATGCTGTAGGCTTTACCTCACTGGGATATTCTACATGTTCCTTTACTTGCATTACTTGTTTTCCTTCAGCTGTAGGAACACAGTGCCTTAAGAACAGTAGCCTTCTGTCAAGTTTAGTTAAGATTCACAGTCACTGTGGGGTGGAGATTAGAGGTGTGTGTGGGTAGTGGGATTGCCTAAATCCCTTCTTTTAGGAATCAGGCCTTAAGTGAGCTCTACATGTGATCTCAGAAGCTGTGACTGGCCTGGACTTGAGACAGGTTAAATACAATCTCCCCAAATCTTGGTATTTGAAGAGGAAAGTCTCAGTAGATGCTTGAATGTCATCACATGGTCTGCACTAGGGTTTCCGGACGTTGGATGATATCCGCACCAAGGCAACTCTCACCAGCCAGCAAGCTGTGGGGTTGAAGCACTACACGGATTTCCTGGAGCGCATGCCTCGGGAGGAAGCCGCGGAAATAGAACAGACCGTGAGTAGCTCAGCCCCAGGCCCTCAGAGGGGAGTACCTGCTGGGACCTGACGGGAGGGTGCATGCTCTAGAAATGTCCCTTGCTGTTATAGCTGAGCTCTTCAGCCTCTCCTCTGAGCAGGGTCAGTGCTCGGGGAACCTTTTTTGGGCATGGGCATACAAGGCACCCACTTTGTCCCATAGGGAGTTTCAGTTTCAGTGACTGGTGAGGAGGAGGATACTTCACAGGTATCAGTTCTATGCACTGCTTTGAAAAAGGCTGCATTTGGCATGGTGGGACGAACAGGTTCCTGCCTCTCATCTTCCCTGAGATGTCTCCTTTCATCCGAGGCCCCTGAGTTGTCTCCCTGGTGCTGCTTCTCCAAAGGAAGCTGTGGGCTGGTTGTTGGGAGTACAGAGCATGGATATCCTTGCTGAAAGCAAAGGGGTCCAGGCTGCACATGGGTGCTGCCTGCTCTGGTATGCCATGGCACTCCAGGATTATGGGGTGCTAAGGCAGTGTACCCTAATGTGAGCAGAGAGCTTGGGGGACACACTGTCATTGCTACCCCTGTGCTCTCTGATCACCATGGAAGCAGCAGCCAGCGTGACCCTGTCACTCGGCCACAGGGCCTGGCCACGAAGAATACACTTCTGCCAGGCTCCTGCTGGGGTGTCAGTCCTGCGTGCTGGATTAGCCATTTCGGTGGTGAGTGGTCCCTTTCCCAGGCAGGCTGGGTCGAGGAGCTGGCTCTTGGGGGTGGGTCTATTGTTATCTTGATGGGATTACTGTGCTCCCCTCCATACACACGCACACACCTCTGATCCAGGCCCAGGAGAGAGAATGAGGGATTAGTCACTGTCTGTGCTGCCTGTCACAGTGAGATCTGAGGAGCTTTTAGGCTCTCGGGTGGGGCTGGGAGTTTTCCAGAAATCTTCATTTAAAGCCAGAAGGGGGGCAAGGACACCAGAGGAGGGCTTGCTCCGCATGAGAAAGGCTTGTGGCTTCTTGGAGCACCTCTGGGGCAAAGGTTAATGGGTTTATCTCTTGCTAATGAAGGATGATCACCAAGAGTGACAAGGGGCTGTGGGCATGGACACTGCCTTCCTGAACCCCAGCCTCTGTGATGGCCTCGTCACTGGGAATTGCTGAGCCCCTAATTATTTGCTGCCAGCAGGGTGATTGGCACAATCAGACCAGGAATACTTTACTCCTGTCCAAGGACTTGGGAGCCTTTCTTAAGCATTTAATGAATGAAGCCATCAGAATTAGCACTGTCTGCACAAAACAGGAGCTGGGGTCCAGCCTGGAGTTGGCTGCTTTAGGGGATGTTCTGATTATATGTGTCTGACTGCTGGGAGCAGCATGTTGGCATCCATTCGCTCTAAAGTACTGGGGCATTTGTGTTTTTCCTGGGTCAGGAAGCCTGGCTCTTCTGCAAAGGCAGAGCTGGCAGGAGTGGACTCCAAGGGACACTTGCAGATTTTCTGCTGCCTTGGGTCCTGCTGGAGAGACTCCCCGTGGGCCCATCTCTGCTTCTGAAGCAGGACCTGTACCATCTTGTGTTGAATTGATTCTCTCTGTGGGCAGGGCTGGCGAGCTTTGCCCTCCTGGCCCACAGGAGAGCTGAAAATCCTCTCCTGCTGTCTTAGAAACCAAAGGCTCTGTCAAGCTGTGCCATACTTTGACTCCTCAGCATTGTTGCAGCTTCCTGCTTGTCCCAACCCAACTTCAGCCCAGTGCCCCCAAGAGCTGATGGCTGATGGTAGTGCCGTGGTAGATCACTATTGTGTGGCAATGTGCTGTGCACCTGCAGGGCTGAGTGGACCCCACCCTGGCTGACGTGGCTACTGACAGCAGGCCAGCCTCCTTGGTGGGGCAGCTTGCCATGCCTGCCAAGTGTCTGCTCTGTGTGGAGACCCTGGAGATGCAGGACAGGCCACAGGGCAGGCACAGGATCCTTTGCTGCCTTGATGGAAAGGGCATGAAGAGACTGGTCTCTGACTCCTCATCCCTCTTTCTCTTCTTGGAGGTCAGACAAGCTGCCCTGGCCCTGAAGCCTGGCCTTGTGTGTGTGGCATGTGGCTCCTACCGTCGGGGGAAACCCACCTGTGGAGACGTGGATGTACTGGTCACTCACCCAGATGGGCAGTCTCACCGCGGGGTGTTCAGCAAGCTGCTTGACAGCCTTCACAGGAGCGGTAAGAGGGCTGGGGTCTGGCACACAGTGCTTGAAGCTGTTCTTAGGATGGCCAAGCTGAGGGGTCAGTGAAGTGAATGACATTCGTTGAAGGGCAGGTGATCGCTTTTCCCAAGAACAGGACTTCTTGTAAGTCCTTAAGAGTACTGCCCTCGATCCTGGCCCTGCTCCATGGCAGCTCCACAGCTAGTGCTAAGGACTGTTGATGCAGCTCAGCATGGCTTCTGCTGTCTGCATGAGCCTGGGTTGTCTTCGGGGTCCCACAGCACATTAAGATACACCTCAGCTGCTGTCTGGACAGTGGGGAGTTTGGGGTGGAGGTGTCAGTCTCTACCTTTCTCTGCCACTCCTCTCTCCCCAGGTTTCCTTACGGATGACCTGGTGAGTCAGGAGGACAATGGTGATCAAAAGAAGTACCTGGGGGTGTGTCGCCTCCCCGGGCCAGCGCAGCGTCACCGCCGGCTTGACATCATCGTGGTGCCTTACAGTGAGTTTGCCTGTGCCCTGCTCTACTTCACCGGCTCGGCTCACTTCAACCGCTCCATGCGGGCCCTGGCCAAGACCAAGGGCATGAGCCTATCAGAGCATGCCCTCAGCTCGGCCGTGGTGAGAGGCCCTGGAGGCATCAAGGTGGCATCTGGTCATACTCTGCCCACTCCCACTGAGAGAGATGTCTTCATTCAGCTGGGGCTGCCTTACCGGGAGCCCTCGGAACGGGACTGGTGACGCCTGGTTGTCACCCAGCACCCTGGGCCTGCTGCTGTGCTGCTGTTTTGAAGGGTGCTGGTTTTCCCTGTGCTGCTCTGTGGTGACTGCAGACTGAGAAACATCCCAGAAAACTGGGGTTCCTTTTAAGCACAGGGCCCTGCTGCTGGTAGAACTGTGTGGCTTCACTCAGCAGAGGCTGTGGGCTGAAACCACACTGGAAGCGCTGTCTGATGGCACAGGCAGCATCTGGCTACCAAAAGGGCTTGCTGCCCATCAGCTACCCTGGCCCTGCTCTCCCTGGGGAAGCTTCAGAAATCTGGGCTGTGGAGCTTTGAGATCCAGCCCTCCCAGTGCTTGGGAACAGGGGAAGTGGGATGCATCTTCCTCTGTCTGAGCACAGACACCCCAAAATCTATGTCCTGAGCTATGTATTGAAGGCTTGGCCCTGTAACAGGCTTTCCCCCTTTTCACTACTGCTGGCAGCTGCTACTGTGGGAATCATGAAGCATCCTGCTGTGCTGCTGCTGTGTCCTTCCTCCATCTGAGCTGACTTGTGTCCTCTGGTGGGTCTCATTGCACAGGGCCGGGTTGCTGCAACAGCCGCCAGCTTCCCCTGGTGCCAGGGAAGCCTTGAAGGAGGCGCAGGGGACCTGATGTGCTGTGCCAGCTTTCTCTCAGCCTGTTGTGTGCCAAGGATCCTCCAGTGCAGAGAGCTGGATGGCCCTGGCCTGGCCCCAAGGGTTCCTTTCCTCAGTGCAGGAGAGGAGTGGGCCTCACAGCTCTGGGAGCTGTGCTTGTGAAGGGTTTGAATGTAACGGCACTGAATGTAACCCAGCAGGGCTGTGTGCTTGTGCATAGGAGGCACGGAGGTAGAGAAACATGAAGAGATAGTTCTAATCTGGGAGAAGCAAAGCTTTCTGATTTTGTCTGTGTGGAAGCCATGGAGTCATTTTGGTCTTTGATCAGAGAAAGAGTGTGTGTGTTTGTGTATGTGTGTACATGTGGCTGGCCCTGTCAGTTCCATGGGAGTGAATTTTATTTCTCAGGAAACCTCAACTATTTTATATTCTGGAGATGAATTTCCCAGAGACTATCAGTGCTCTGTCTCTGTTATGGGTATTGCAGCGGTTCCTCCTGGCAGAGGTGCTGCTCTGCGGCATTGCCTGCCAGCAACGCCGTGCTGGGAGTTTCTGTGCCAGGACCCCGGGGCTGCCTCTGGCTGCTCTCTGAGCCTGGCTTGGCCTCCTGCTCCCTTGTCTTGTGCGGGACCCAGCCACCCCCTCTCTCCACTCTGCCGTGTCTTTGTCACACGTTTGCTGCTAGGGCGGGCATGAGGACATTAAACCTGTTGGGTTTGCACAGTTTCTTGCTGCATTGTCAGCTGTGGCTGCTGGGTACCAGCAGTGGGGCTGGGGTGGTTGCTGGGGAGGCCTTGACCCCAGCAGTGTCATTTGTCAGCCCAGCCTTTCTACTGAACACTTATGGAAATTAATGTCTTCTGCCATGTCTTGGTGCTTTGAAATTTGAAGTATAATAAATTAATCCTCCTCTTTTTTTTTTTTTTTTCCTTGGCATCTCTGTCTTTTTGTTCTCTGCCCCCTGCAACTGTTGGGACTCTTCCCTCTGGCTGGCCAGGAGCCCCTCCTGTGCTGGTTCGTTTCCCTGTTTCCAGTGCAAGCAGGGAGAAGGCAGTGGAGACTTCATGCTATTGGATCACCACTTCTGGCTCTCGGGGCAGGGAGTTGCTGGCCACCATCCTCCCATGGCAGAGTGGGACCTGGCTCATGCTGGCCACGTGGCTGAGTTGGGGCTGGCCATGCCTAGAGAAAAAGGAGCAATTCCGAGCTCTGAGCCTTGGGCTGAGCTCTCACTTCAGGTGTGGAGTCAGGAAGGGATTTCTGTCAGCTTTTCCATATTTACCACGCAGGAGGGTGTATGGGAGCTGGATGCTGCTCTGTCTCCTGTTCTGTGTCTGGAACACAGCTCAGTCTCATGAGCATGGAAACACTTTGGTTGTCCAAGGGGAATCCAAACAGCCTGAAAGCCAAGGGAGCGCGTGGAGATGAGCAGCAAGAAACACTGGCTCAAAAGGGAGATGGAGAAGCTGAAGAGGGCCAGGAGCTGCTGGGATAGGCATAGACTGGGGCAGAGCCAGCAAGGACTGAGCTGGGTTCTCCAGGGGCAAAGGGAAGTCAGCCCCAGAGCAGGGCATGGGGAGTGCAGGGGGAGCACTTTCTCCCCAAGAGGGCTCTGCAGCCCAGGACCAGCCCAGAGAGGGTGGAGTCCTCATCCTTGGGGTCTTCTAGGCTTGGACGGGCAGGGCCACAGCTGGGGATAGTCTTGCCCCTAAGGGAGGTTGGATTGGGGCTCCCCCTCCCTTCAGCACTGCAGGGATGTTCCTGGAGGAATTTTTGTAGAGCTTTATGGCTGGCAGCCCTCGGAATGGGCCCATTTCTGCCTGGACTGGGGCGGGGAGTGGAGTATGGGTCTGCTCACCCTGGCCCCTTGGTCAAGGGAAGCTTGCCTCCAGCTCTGGGTGCTGGGACGAGCCGTTCCTGGAGGGCTGGGGCTGTCCCTCTCACCAGGGCCATGTGCTAGGGACATCACTGGATCTGGGGCAGATGTGGCACTGCTGGCCCCCAGCTCCTTCTCCTTTGTCACCCCCTTCTCCAGGGCCACAATTCACACCCTGGAGCTGCAGCACCACATCAAAGCCCTGGCTCCGCTATATCTGCTACTTTTACTTGGGGGGAGGCCCGTCAGGGGGATGTGTGGGGCCAGGGCTGCTCGGGAGCAGGACTATTCATCCAGCCCCTTGGGAAATGGCAGTGAGGGTGGCCATAGGGCATCAATGTCCTGCAGACACTGCTGGGGGAAACGTTCTGCTCTCAGAGAAGGGGCCTGATGGCTGGCTGTCCCCTCACACCCCACAAATCGCTGCCCAGGAGCTTTGGAGGGGGAAGAGGGCCCTCCTGTGGCCAGCTGCAGGCAGGTGGGCCAGGGATAGATGGGGGCTATCTACCCTGAGTGCAGCCACAGCAGATGCAAAGGGGTGGGAGGTGGAGGAGCACAAGAAGCAGCTCTTCTAGAGCATGCACCCTCCCGTCAGGTCCCAGCAGGTACTCCCCTCTGAGGGCCTGGGGCTGAGCTACTCACGGTCTGTTCTATTTCCGCGGCTTCCTCCCGAGGCATGCGCTCCAGGAAATCCGTGTAGTGCTTCAACCCCACAGCTTGCTGGCTGGTGAGAGTTGCCTTGGTGCGGATATCATCCAACGTCCGGAAACCCTAGTGCAGACCATGTGATGACATTCAAGCATCTACTGAGACTTTCCTCTTCAAATACCAAGATTTGGGGAGATTGTATTTAACCTGTCTCAAGTCCAGGCCAGTCACAGCTTCTGAGATCACATGTAGAGCTCACTTAAGGCCTGATTCCTAAAAGAAGGGATTTAGGCAATCCCACTACCCACACACACCTCTAATCTCCACCCCACAGTGACTGTGAATCTTAACTAAACTTGACAGAAGGCTACTGTTCTTAAGGCACTGTGTTCCTACAGCTGAAGGAAAACAAGTAATGCAAGTAAAGGAACATGTAGAATATCCCAGTGAGGTAAAGCCTACAGCATGAACACAACCATATTTTTAAGACAGCCAAGAATAGAGTCACAAACCAAACACTCTAGGAAAACAGGCTTCATTCACTCTGTGCTCAGGAGACAAACTATTTTTAAAGAAGGAACCCACCCAGTGGCTGGGTTGCTCCAGTTGGCACAGTTACTTCAACCTAATTTTTACAACTTCCAGACAAGATGGACGGCTGCTCTGACAGCTATCAGAGCCAGCCAGGGCAAAAGGCCAGCAACTGCATCAGGAGCCTTCATGGCCAGGATGTCCTGGTTCAAGCCTGGTTCTTAGCAGTGTTTCCATGAGCAGTCTGAGATGAGCTCCAAGCAATGATGCCAACAGAAGAGGCAGCATGTCCCCCACTCCCCATCTTTGCCCTCTACCCCCACCCAAATGCAAGTCTCAGTCGGGTGCACTCCATTATTCCCAAACACACCCACAACGGGACCCAGTCTTGCAGCTCCTCCTATAAAACCAGATTCAAATTCCATCTGTGGATATTGGCAACTGGAAGATATTTGT